GGAATAACTGTTGAAATGATAAAACTTGGAGCAGCAAAATTATAGAAGAAACATAAAATATGTGACCCAGCATGGAAAAAAAAGCACACAAAAAATTAAACTTGTACTAATATTAAGCTTTCCACTCCTTTAGGTGCTTCAATTCAAAACTTTTCTCCTTTGAAATAAAATGCTACAGAAAGTAAAGTTACTAGGAATAAACCAGTGAGACAAAGTAAAAAAAAAAAATGAAGAAATCTACAAAAGAATCCAATCAAGATAGACATTATTGCAAAAATTAATGCATAGAAAGCTCTTTGGACATCTGCAGAATGAAGAATGAGAGAGGGATCAAGAAAGTGGCTTTTGGAATTGCGGAAGGGAGAAACAAAAGAGAAAGACCTTGTAAAGTATGGTTTACTTTAAACAAATAATATAATGCATGATTACAAGCTCACCCAAAACACTCTTGAATGAAGAGAATGGAGAAAGTTGGCAAAAGAAATACCAAATGCCAATGGGGACTAGACCATTGAATGATGATGGTGATTGATATTATTATACAAATTATTGGAACAAGCATAGTAGTATGTAAAGCAATGAAAATAGATATACTCTCAACTATAGTTTGTAACAAGGTATTGTACATTTTTATCATATTTGTAAGTTAAGATTAGGAAGAGAATAATAAAGCTATACTCTAAATATAAAAAATTAATTAAAAGATATCTAATTAAGATGCATAGAAAACTGTAAAAGAATTTACTAGGAAAAAAAAATAATGTAAAATAGATTGCATATAATGGTGGAAGAATAAAGATAACATGAGGAACACTAATGTTAACTAATGTAAATTTAATACAGTTTACACAGTATTACTTCACACACTATTCAATAAAAAACAAACACTTAAAATATTTTAGGAGTAAAAAATTCATTTGAATAAAATGTTTCTTGAGACCTTTGTCACCTCAGCTTCTGTGCAACCAAAGTGAATGGAACTGCCACATCTTTCACACATGGCTGAGAATAAATGGAAAAAATCATGGCCGACTCCTAAAATATTTCAAGCATTTTTTCTGAGTTTTATAAATTAAATATATATGTAAATAGGATAGACAAGATGTGCAGCATAAATTTTTTAACTAAAAAGGAACAAATATTTTATAAAACTGCTATAAGATCTTTATGAATAATTCTCACAGAACTTTAGATGACAGTCATATATTTGTTTAATATCGTCTAAACAAATACTACTTTATTGCTTCAAATAAAACCAATATTATGCCATTACTTTATTACTTCTCAGTGCATAAATTGTTTGTTAAATAATAATCCATTATTATAGATGATTACTTAAAATTTATTAATATGACAATAAAGTAATAAATATATTTACTTCCACAGTCTATTCTTTTTTTTTCTTTTTTTTTATGAAGTTCTTTCACATATTTAGAAACAATTGCAATTAATAATGTAGAAAAAATGTTTTTTTTTTTTTACTATTTAATATGCCAAAATTTCAAAAAAAAAAATGCCCAATTTTATTAAACAACTGCTTTATTTACCTTTTTACAGATTTTAATTATTGATTATAATGTATAGAACCAGGGTGGGCAAGCTCCTTGATAGTCCGAGCCATTTTTCAAAATTTGAAATTTTTCGCGAGCCGCAATTAAATACGTATTAAAAAGGTATGCAAAAAATTCCAGATTACAAATTATATCCGTAGCAAGAGTGATACAAATTGTTTCTTCCAGAGCACAATGTCAGCTGTCCATTGCAATGAAAGTTTATAAATTCAAAATCGGTCTGGAGTCGTCAATAACGGACGATTATGCCACTGTTTATGTGCGTTTGCGCAGTTTTCGATGAGTCATATCATTCTTAACTTGGACAGAAATGAAATTTGTTACAACGTTGCACTTAATCTTTCATATTTGTTGTTAGTAATTTAAAAGACATTTTGAAACACATACGGAACGATAATAATTTTTAAAAATATAATAACACAAAAATGAAAATGGAACTCGGGTACATTTATCGAGAGCCACAAATAATCCTTCAAAGAGCCGCATGTGGCTCGCGAGCCACAGGTTGGCCACCCCTGGTATAGAATAACACTTCAAATTTATTAAAACAGTAAATAGCTGCATTCAGATAACTAACTAAAACAATCTTTGTTACATAAAACAAAAGTTTTGTTTTATGTAACAAAGATTGTTTTAGTTAGTTATCTGAATGCAGCTATTTTTTAACTGTAAGGATCACGGATCCTGCTGGATAAGTCTACAGGCATTATACTTCAGGAAATCCTTGTTAATTCGAACTCGGATAGTTTGAAGTTCGTAACTGCATTTTTGTCTCAGCTGAAGACGGAGATTTACATGTTAAGGAATTTGATTAGTTTGAAATATAGTTACTTCGTAATTCAAAGTGAAAATTCTGTCCAAACTGTGATATGCAAATGTTAACTTGTTCGCTTAGATCAATGGTTCCCAATTAGTGGTACGCATACCCCCAGGTGTACGTGAAATTGCATGAAGGGGTATGCGCGGCAATCTATAATCAGTCGATTTAAAATTTAAATGCATGAGATAAAGCAATAAAAAAAATAATGGGTGAACCATAAAAAATTTGGCAATTTACAACATGATGTCGAATGCACAAATTCGTTTATTTATAACTAAAAATATTCTCGCAATTTCATCAAAAAAATGCATTTGTGACAATACCTAAATGAAATTCTTACACAAGAAACAAAAATTGTACAATTAACACAATTTGTGTTAATTGTACAATTATCATTATCATTGTGTCAGCGAAGCGGCAATAAAATATTTACTACCATTTTGCACAACATACCTCTGCAAGAGTGGATTTTCGGCCATGACAAACATGAAAACTAAACATTGTCATCGACTTCAACTCGAAGATGACTCGAGACTGAAGCTGACCAAAAAGCAACCAGATTTTACAAAGTTGTGCAAAGAAAATCGTGCACATTTGTCACATTAAAAGTAAATAACCTTATGTTATTTTCATTATTATTAGAATTGTATTTTAAAGGTAATAAATGTTAAAAATCTTATTTTATTTATCACTAGCTGTCTATCCATAGCTTTGCCCGCATTATATCGAATTTTCTCGTGGGAGTAAGATATTTTCTAGCAGTAAAATGTAGCCCTTGTCCATCTCCAACACGTAAGCTATCTCTGTGCCAAATTTTATTAAAACCTGTACAGCGGTTTAGACGTGGAAAGGTGACACAGACAGAATTATCTTCAAATTTATAATTTTAGTATGAATTAATATGAATTTCTGCTATAAGGGATACGCGAGTTTGAGCTCTTTCTTGAAGTGGTACGCAGGAAAAACTAATTGAAAACCACTGGCTTAGATCAATACTATAAGAGACAATAGACCAAGAACAACTCTAATCTGCTTTTACAGTAACACATTTTCAGATGTTACCTTACACATGGACTATCCTTTCATTCTGTTATTTCATAAAATACAGCTAGGACTGCAAAATTGGGCTATAAATAGCAGATTAAGATGTCACTCAAACATCTGCTCTACTGTAATTTCCTTATGACAAAAGTTTAACTGATTATTTGTGAGTTAAGTGATGCTGCTGAATCAATGATGCCATTATAGACCCCCTAATGAGAAGAATTATAACTTCTTTTAAACTGTACATAGTTTTCTGGCATCAAGATAAATGTGCCTACAAAATTTTATTGATCTAATAGTTTTGTCTCCAGAGTAGTCTAAAGTGGTATACTTTAATTATAGACATACAGTACAAAAAAGTCTGTTTACTTAATGCTTTTGAAAATAGAAAAATATCAAAAACATTAAATACAATCACTAATGATGGACACAAAAATATTGAAAATATTAGATACATTTTTTTTAATAACTGAAAGTGATATTTAAGTATATGTTTTTTATGCATAACAGAATATCAAAAAATGATTTAATAATGGAAATGAAACCTACTCCAAGTTCTTTAAAATATAACAAAAAAAAAAAAAAACAAAACACTTTACTGGAGTTTACTTTATTAACAAGTTTCTCTCGTAAACTTTCGGGCAACTAAGCCCATCATCAGGAGACACACAAGCTTAATAGTAGTCACCTAAGTTTGCCTTTATGTAACATCTAGTTGTCGTACAAACTTGTCAAAAAACCACTAAGGTAATTCACTCATGCATCCCCCGACGATGAGCTCGGATGCCAAAAGTACTCGAGAGAAACTCTTTAATAAAGCAAACTCCAGTAAAGTGACAATTGGTTTTGTTAAAGAATTTAATACACTCTCCGGTTCCTTTCGACTAGATGCCAAAACCAAAAAGCATGGCAGAGTTACATTAAACCAATATCGAGTGCCAAAAGGTAAATAACGTAACTAGAAGTAAAAGTAGATAGATAATTTTCTTATGCATAAGATAACAAGGATAATATATGCTATATAAACATAATTTAGTTATCACATCTTCCATTCAAACAAACTGATAAGCAGAATAACATAAGTTAAATAAAACACTGATTATACAAAATAAGACTTTGCAACAGAAGTTACTTTTAAGGGTACGACTACACCTCCGAACGAGACAATCAGAAAGTCGGTCGAGGCGAGCAATGGCTCGCCTCGACCAACGCAGCACAAAGAACAGGCGGTTTACCAATATGCTGTAAAAACAACCGAATATCTGGCGAACGGTCGCACGTGTGAATACGGTTCCTTTGACTTTTTTGCTGGTACATGGGGGGTGTGAGTGGGAAACCCCTCATCCAGAGTTCACATCTTACCCTTTTAACTACCTTGTTATGTATAATAACATATGTATAAATGAACTAAAAGTAACTTCTACCCAACTTGCACATCTTCCAATCTGTTAATAATAATAATCAATTAAAAAACTGGTAAAAAAATTAAACCAAGCTGGAAATTTAATATTAAATGAATATATTTTCATAAATAAACATTATATATAATAAATGAAATGTCTTACAGAAGTTTTAACTTTATCTCCAAGGGACACCCTTTCAATAGCAGGCACTAGATCAAAAGCTTTGACACTCATAATTTTAATAAAAATTAATTGCGATTTTAAAAATTACGTTAAAGTTATCATCTTTTATTTCCTATCTCTATAAATATCAACATAAGTTTATCAACTGACACCTCCCTCGATCACCGCCATTGAATGAAGCCCAAGATCGCTTCAGCAATCGCCATTATGGCTGCTATCACCTGTTTGAATTTTATGGAAAATTATTTTTAAAAGAAAATTTTTTTTAAAAAATTACTTAAATTTTATATTATTAAATCTTTACAAAAGTATTAATATTTAATTAATTTTAATGAATGTTTATATATATATATATTTTTTTTTTTAAATATAAATAGACTCTCGGGAAACGGCAACTCCGCTTTCTGTATACAATGCTCGAGAAGCGCTTTACAGCGAACACACTGAAACTGGTTTCTAATTGGCCAACACTGCTGTTGACGTCATTTCGCTACACTCTCGCTGCATAAAGAAACGTGGCCAAAATAACTTTTGAGTTCGGAAAAAACCAAGGGCAGATACGGAGGTGGGCAAGGTGGGCAGCTGCCAGGGTAATAGCGCGTTATAGATTTACGGGGCCCCAGGCAAATTTCAATTAGGGGGTTCCATGTACAGTGGTAACTTCAAACATTTTTTTTTTCGGGGAATTTTCGGGGGACTCCTCCAGTATCCTCGTTCTCTTTTTAAATACAACCTATGGTGGGTTAAGTCTTGCACGGCCGAGCGGTCAAGGTAGCAGCCTACCGCTCTGGGGGACCCGGTCTCGAATCCGAACGGGTCGAAAAATCCCCAGGAATTTTTCGGGGGGTGGTCCGTTCGGATATGTCGGGCCCCGTCCCTCACCACCCGGCAGCCCCATTGTGGGCCTAATGGACTTGCAAAAAGAGGCCCTCTTAGTGCCCACAGGGCGGAAAGAGTTAAAAGGAAAAAAAAAGTCTTGCACGGCACTGGCAATATAAAGTCTCCAGAGTTGGTGAAAATTTAAATTTCGATATTCTTAGTACAGTAATGAGTTTATAAAAGATTGGTTTGTGGCACCTTTTTCGTTGGGTTCCAAGCAATTTCCCTCATTGCCCATAGAATAACGCGCCACTGGCCAAGGGAGGCAGATTGATAGAGCGTCAAAACTGGACGAAGAAAATTAAAAATAATGACAAAACATTCTTAATTTTAGATAATCGATTATTTTACTGTTTGAAAATAATAACTTTAACGTATCTTTTAGCCTAAAAGGCGGTCGGATGGTCGAGCGGTCAAGGTGGCAGCCTACCGCTCTGGGAGACCTGGAATCGAAAAAGACCTAGGAATTTATCAGACGGTGGTCCGTTCGGATATGTCGGGCCCTGTCCCTCACCACCCGGACGCCACATTGTGGCCTTGGCTGAACTCATAACGGGCTTGCTAAAAGAGGCCCCATTATGAGGGCGGAAAAAGTTAAAAATCTTAAGTACAGATGGCTACAATATATTAGCAATCTGATGAAACTTCAAAACGTCACTTAGTTGTTAAAAAAAGTCATGTTTTCAGCTAATGCACAGACTGAAAACTTCTCTTACCATAGAATTCTTCTCGTTAATTCTGAAGTAAATCATCGAAATGCGGTTTTGTTACTCATTGTTACTATTACCAAAATGTTAAGAGAAAGTTGCTTAGCTTTTCAAGATAAAATAGACAATCTTTACGAATATAATATTAGCAATTTTTTTTAAACTTATTCAGCTCTTGGCAGAATTTGATCCTGTTATGTAGAGACACGTAAGCAGGATTCTGAAGGAGAAAAATAATTTGAGCAAGAACATTCAAAATGAGTTAATAAACATAATTTAATTATCTTAAACTGCAGGCTTGATTTTAGCAAAAGTAGGTAAATAACAATGATAGACACGTTTCGTTTCATAAAACCAGCGATAATTTAAAAACAAAGGTTATACTTAATGAAAGTTTCGCAGTATTTGTTCCTATTGAAAAATCTACGGATTTCGAATTCTGCGATGTTCTCTTAACCCAATTAAATTAAATCTGTACAAAATATCAAAGGACAAATCTATTACAATATGAAGGGTGTTCGCATTGGACTTAAAACTAAGATAAAAAATTTAAACCCTGTCGCCAAAATGGTCAATATCGATTCTTGGGGCTCAAAATGACATTATTGGGAGGTTGATTTAAAAATTGAAACTAAAAATTACAAATACGTATTATTATGTTTTTGAATATAGTTTCAATGAATTTAATAGTACAGTTACCAGTAGCGGTGTGATAAGTTTCTGTTATCCCTACTATAATATTTAAGATGTCAGTTTCAACAATTTTCGAGACTAGAAGTTTTTTTGTGATATATACATTCTCACAAACTTTATATATTATGCAAAGTAAACCTTTAAAAGTATTGACATTTGCCAGAGATAATAACTTCCTTCATTTAGGAACTTTCTTATGCATATAAACTAAATTTAATTAATTTTTTAGGGTATTAAATAAGTATATTTATAAACATTTATTAAACAATAGACAATACCAACAAATAGAAATATCAACTTCAACTTTATTTATTGTTTATTTTATAATAAAATGATTATTAAGCAACAATTAGTCATTAGCATATGCAATTTGACTGTTACATTATCTTCAATTATTATGAAATATTAATTTAAATGACTGAGAGTTCTAATTTTCAAATGTCCAAAAGAAAAAAACAATTAGCTTCGCTCTAGGAACACCGTACACATTTCAAAAGACTCAATATGGCGACTGCCGCGATGCATCACGGTATCGTGTCCAGACCTTGTGTTTATAGACCAGGCATGGCCAACAAACGGCCCGTCTAATGAATTTATGTGGCCCGCGATCAATCTTTGAATATTAGCTACTGAAGTCCGAATAGCTGGATGTAAAATCTGACGCCAAAAAACAAAAGCTATACTGTACAACTCACGTAAGTACAGTACAGCTTAGAGTGTTGATAAAGCATGATAATGTCAAAAAAAATGGATCTGTAATCTCTATCTACAATTCAGTCTCTACGGGGTGACACCAACAATGAGATCTCGCACCACCTCAAAATCTTCCTAGAGCAGCCTCTGGTTCGGCCTGTGGAAAAAGTTTTCTTTCCAATTCTGCCCGGAGGCAAAAACTCTAGGCCACCCCTGTTATAGACCTTGCTCCAAGCAAACCACGTTGCGCCACACGTTTACGTCGTGCACTGATTCATGGGTTAAAACATATTGCAACAGGGCTTTGAAGCCAAATTTTTCATCTTCATCTTTATTGGATATACAGTATGTTGAAAATTATAGAACGTGTCATCGCTAATTTCACCGATTCCATTTAAATTTGTATGTAATATATGGAATTACATAGTTAATTCCGTCAAATGGAATCTTCGTCCTCTAAAAAAATGGAATCTTCGTCCTGAAATGGTGGATATGCGGATGCCCCTGTAATTCGGAGCTCCACCTGAGGAATACCGCAGTTATGAGAAAGACGACGTAATTACAGTCCGAATTTATTGCCGGCAAGAAAAATAATGCAAACAGAAAGTAAAATCTCCACGTGAATGTAATTGCAAAGAAGTCATCAAGATTCTTTCAGAAAACATCAAACTATCTTGGCGATATTATAAAGGAAAGGGCTTCACTTTTTACCGCGAAAAAAGCATAAACAAAATTAATATACGAAGACAACACATTTATTAAAGAACCCTACAAAATTATCTTATCGTTTTTAATAATCGTTTTCGTATATTAATTTTTTTTCTTCCAGTAGTTCCAAATTATTTATTTAAATTAATTAATTAAAAATTATTATTAAGTTATTAAAGTTATTAAGAGATGGCGCCTATCGCCTCCCTCTAGTGCCAAATTGGTTGCATAATTTATTTAATAATTAGCCGTATCTAGCCCGATAGAATTTGGCATTGGTTGGAGTCTAGCTTTATAGTATATCGGCCAGAAAACTCTTTTAGGAAATGTTTTATTTTTGTGAATTGTTACTGAACAATTAAGCTATTGTTAATCACTTGTTTACTATTATATTTATTATTAGAATATTATAAATTTAAAATTCGATTTTAAATCAATCTGGAAAATGGCAACACTGTAAAAATGGCGGGAGTTACAGTAGATGTAAACAACACGTTACTTTTAGGTTACGTAAAGTAACTCTGATTTTGATTTATTTTCAATTATATTTAATGTCAGGTGAGACATTTTTGAATTAATTTGTATACCGTGGACGTTTTATTTAATGAATATTATATAAATTAATGCTTTTCAGTAATGTAAAATATATTTTAAATGTTGATAAGGAAATGACTTTTATGTTACTTGTCCTGATTTGCATAAATATGTAGGCATTACATTTTACAGAATCAATAATTTAGGTAAAGGGTCTACTGTTTTCGTAATTATTTATGGAGTAATTACGTAGAATGTGACGAATGGTGGTGGTTCCTTGGCGATTTTGAGTGGAGAAGTGCCCTTTTTCGTGTTTTTTCCCGACGAGATTACAATATTCATATTTCCATTTAGTCGATGTGACTGCAGGCTCTGATTAACCCACTTGATTGTGTAGTACATGTTATATAGTAGGAGAGTGTGGGGGCTTATGGTGCAGGACTGCATGTGTTAGAGGTTGAGGCGAGTGAGAGCTGGCTTTGAGTGATACAGAGAGTGGAGAATAGACAATGGTTGCATTTTGCAGATTCAACAGTTATGGAGTTGTTGAGTATTTTTCTGCCGAATGCCCTCTATGGTAGCGCTGTTTGGAACATGTTCGGTGTTTTGATGTCACATTTAGTAGCATCTTTTGTTTGCAGTATCTATCACTAGCTGCAGCTGACCAATGATGGCTGCTCCAACACATACGTCATTCGTCGTTCGGCAGATGTAAATACATAACAACTACCGATTGAAACACCTTTGCTCAGTTTCAACTGTTGATTCTGTTGAACACAGCTAATAGTACTGGTGTGAGGTAAAAACTGTTCTCCTCTGCCCCGAATTGTCTCAGAACAACTATTGCTTGTCACATTTCTCCTAATCATTCCCTAAGTAACTAAGAAACTTAAATACAGTAGACACCCTTTCCTTAACTCGTACTGCTAGCTTAAGGACTATAGACAAATTGCTGAATTAAACATTGCTTCTTTAACTGTAGGTGAAATTTAAAGAACATTAACTTTTTTGACCTGCTTATAGGGCCGCTGAGTGTGAACAGTTGAAAGTGAAATGAGGGATTCCACTTTGAATTCTTCATACCTGAAGGTGGCACACTTCATCCACTGTTAGATGCATTGATTAATTTGGCCGAGTAACCACAGTGGCATTTGTCTTCACATAAATAAATTAAGAGAATATTGGCCAAAATCAGTTGAAGAGTTGAAGGTAATTGTGCATATTAAGGGAATATGAATTTTTTTAATTATGTTATATTAAAAAGAATGTATATTTAATAGTCGTTCGGAAAACGCATAACGTTTTTCCGTCCGACCCGTATATAAAGAGCTATAAACAAAAAATCATAGGACTACTTACCGATTGTGCTCCGTTCGAGACGCCATTACTTAAGCTTGCCGTCGTCGTGGAGGTGCACACTGGACGGCGGATGCACGCGAAGCGTATCACGTGACCCAATTTCAACGTCACTCAGTCACGTGACTAGGTCTCTGACGCGTTTCCGGCAGCTTTTCTTCTCGCGGAATAATCCGTTCTCTTTGCACTAACACGTCATAGAGCAAACCACGTCTTATTATTAACACGTGATTAACTCTTGTCACTTCGACAGCTCGCGGACTACAGTTTGACAACTTTGCCTAGTTACGCTTTTCTAACATCGTAACGTTCTATATCCAAATCCCAGTTAATATTTGACATCGACGATTTATTTTTCGATGTTAACTCCGTAAAAACAGAACAAATGAAATAATAAATAATCGAATTACTTTAAAATTCAGATTAAATGCTATAAAACTATAAATTTAATATCTAAATTTACAAACACGTATGTCTTATATAACTAATCTCTCTAATTTTAAAATCTAAAGTTATATGACAGTAATTAGTATTGGTCGCACATTTTACATACTGTAACTTTTATATTATTGTTAAATAACTTTACATTTTAAAATTAGAGATAAAACATACATGTTTGTAAATTTAGATATTAAATTTATAGTTTTATAGCATTTAATCTGAATTTTAAAGTAATTCGATTATTTATTATTTCATTTATTCTGTTTTTACGGAGTTAACATCGAAAAATACATCGTCGATGTCAAATATTAACTGGGATTTGGATATAGAACGTTACGATGTTAGAAAAGCGTAACTAGGCAAAGTTGTCAAACTGTAGTCCGCGAGCTGTCGAAGTGACAAGAGTTAATCACGTGTTAATAATAAGACGTGGTTTGCTCTATGACGTGTTAGTGCAAAGAGAACGGATTATTCCGCGAGAAGAAAAGCTGCCGGAAACGCGTCAGAGACCTAGTCACGTGACTGAGTGACGTTGAAATTGGGTCACGTGATACGCTTCGCGTGCATCCGCCGTCCAGTGTGCACCTCCACGACGACGGCAAGCTTAAGTAATGGCGTCTCGAACGGAGCACAATCGGTAAGTAGTCCTATGATTTTTTGTTTATAGCTCTTTATATACGGGTCGGACGGAAAAACGTTATGCGTTTTCCGAACGACTATTAAATATACATTCTTTTTAATATAACATAATTAAAAAAATTCATATTCCCTTAATATGCACAATTACCGAGTTGAATCTTCAAAGTTAACTTAAAAATATGGCTGTTTTCTTTTTGGAACTACATTAATGACTTTTGTTTGGTGTAAATGAAGCTCTGAAGAATGTGAAGTAAAACTAAAATTTATATCATGAATGAAGGGGAATGTATGGATAATTTTTGACTAGAATGTTGAGAGTGGTCTTTCAGTATGATTCTTTGTATTTTTGTTTTAACTATTGATCAGTTTAGTGAAATTAAAAGTGAAGTTTATGGATGTTTATATTTGTGTATATACATCATACTGGGATAAAGTAATAGCTAATGAAGTGCTATGCTGGGAGTTACAGGCTTTGGGTACTGTAGTCGTCCCTAGTCGATGCTATGAGTAGCCAGTATGATGTGTCTAAATTAACAGTTCTGGAAGTGAAGATCACATGGAGGTCCAGATAGCATAACTTGCGATGTGTCTGCATGGCAAGTGAGAGTTGTAAATTTCAGTATGCTTTGGGTCAATTCGTTTCTTCCAGAACCTTCTAAATTAATTATTAAAATGTTAATTTATCAAGAGATGGTGCCAACACCTACCTCTAGGCCAAATTAATTGACATTTAATTAATAATTAGTAGCATTAATATAGCCCAGTGTAATCCGGCAATCATTTGACATTAACAGAATTATGTTGAATTTTATTATAGTGATTAGTTCTGTTAAGTTAATGTTAATAAATAAAAGTAAATAATACAAAATTATACTTTATTCTTGATATACAGGTAACCCCCGTATAACATGGCACTTCTATAGCACGGATTCACTCTAACACGGTTTGAGAATTGGTACCATCCCTGTATAACACGGTACTGCTATAGCACGGATTCACTCTGACATGGTTCAAGAATTGGGTAAAATCCTCGTACAACATGAAATGTAATAAATTTTTACATACTTAAGTAATAATAGTTCACGAAAACTATTATTTTCGTGAACTATCAATACTTAAGTATGTAAATTTTCTTTTCTTGCCTTCTGTCGATACACATGGTCCTTCTCGAAACTTGTTTCAATGTTGCCAGATCTCAACGCTTCTGCTTCTGATGTTACCAGATGTTTCTCCCTTATTCCATACTTGCTTTATTCTTCATAAGTGCTTAGCACCATATAAGGAAATTTATAAAGATCTTTTAACTAGAAGCAAGCAATCTAAAATTACATACTTTTTGCAAAAGATTATGCATGGCAGATGCAAAGCATGGATCTGAAGATAATGCAGAAAAATGCTCAGAGGATAAGGATAACTTGCCAAAAAGAAAACGCTCTCAGTTAATAGTGCTTTTAGTGATGACAAAGAAAACATTGTTTAATTTATATTATTTAATTAATGTGTATCACTTAAGAAAATTTTAATAAAGATATTTATCTTAATTATGAAAATATAATAGCATGTTTTTTTAATTTTTGGAACCTAACCCTCCTTTTCGTACTAGTTCTTTGTTTCGTATAACACGGATTTGTATAACACTGCAATTTTTTGGAATGTAATTAGCGTGTTATACGGGGGTTACCTGTATATACATTTAATAAGTCTTATTCTGAATAAGGTGACATTTTACATTTTCATTTTATATATAAACTTGGAATACACACACCTTCTTGTTCTAATTGCCTTCCTCAAACATAGATTTCTTAGCTTCAGCAATAGGGACTCGCATCCTTTTGGGAGATGTATGTGGTATATTGTCATAGGGAAGACCCTGTTCCTCTGGCATTCTATTCTGTTGTGTAAGATCAAATAAACATGCAAATGTTATCCTATCTCTTGACTTTACAACTCATATAATGGATTTTGAAATATCAAATCTGTTTGTTCCGAAGCATATGTCAGGTTGAGAATACAGTATTTGAGAATATCAGACTGCACTTATTAATGGCAGGATTTCTACCAGGAGCATATTGATGGCTGCTGTTTAAGTCCTTGCTTGGAAGTGTGATATTTGTTTCCATTGAATTTATCACAAGCTGTTAAAATTTGTCATACTTCATATAAAATTTATTTTGTAATTGACCGTAACATCTTTTAAACACAACAGACAGTCGGCATTATTGAACCATTCAATGCTTCTCCATTATTCTGTTACATTGAAGGTCAACAGTATTTCTTCATTTTATAATTCATAACATTTAATTAAATATCTGACTTAAAATTCTTAATAATTAAATTTTAGATGCCATATAATTTGTTTTAAAACCTGTAAAATAATATATAAGTTTATTTATTTTTTATTGTAGAATTCATTTTGCAATGCCCAAACGATTAAATCCGTTCGGCGAAACATTTTCTCCACAATTTAAAACCCACGTGGGAATCAAGGAAGTTAACATGGGTGTAAATTGGAAAGATAACATGAAATTTGTACACGGTAAGTTATATTTAAATTGATAGTTCATATTTTTATTGGATCTTAAGTTTGTAGGTTATTCAATACTCAAGATGCCGATGACTGTCATAATTACATGTAAAGACAAATTTAGAATAATTTTACACATAAACAGTGATAATTTTGTAAAGATTTTTTAAACAAATGTTATACAGTAAAAGTTTAATATAACAAATGACCACGGAACTGAAGAAATTGATCCAATGTAATGAAAGTCTGTTTTAATGTGATTATTCTTTATTAAGGACTCGTCCATTGCATCAAAAATTATATTATTATACAGTAGAATCACATTAGAATGGATCTCGATTACACTTGTTTTCAACTTCAGAGTAAGTGCCACCTGCATCAAAACTGTTACATGAAAAAAATTACTGTTAAAGTGTTTATTACACAAAGACTAAATTAGGCTGATACTCCTGAACTTTTCTTACTTCAAAATTTAAAATACTTTACATTTTACTTTTTTGAAAGAATTGTTGTTTTTATGAAAGCCTGTTATAGTTTATCTTTTGCTTTCCAAATGTCTGAAATTGTCTGCTTACTCAGAGACAATTCTTTACTAACTTCAGATTGAGATTTTCCATCTTCAATCTGACGAATTACATCTATTTTTTGTTTTTGAAATCGAAAGCTCTTCATTGGGTTGCAGTTTGAAAAATTTGTAGACCTATAATGTCCATCTGTCTTAATCTCAAGAATGGACGAGGCCAGATATGGAAACCTTGGGCAGGAGGCCCTGATTAACTATATATGAACTTTGGATGCAAACCAGAAGTCACATTATTTTAATTAAAAAATTTTCCTCTGAAAAGCATTATGTAGATGACTGGCATCACTCTATTATTTTAAAGAAGTATGATGTACAGGGGCAAGCCACTACTAATTTGAGGGGTAGAGAATATATTTTAGATTAAATAGATTAAAAATTGCAGCCCAGCACGTGACCATGTCACAATAAACAATTGCTTGTTTTCTTTTATGATCATGGCTCTGCTTTACACAACAAATCCAAGAGTTGTTGCTCGTAGAGAAAACGAAAACATTGGCCATCTGTTATCAGGGCCTGTAATATCAAGCTCTTACTATATTAGAAAAACATATTTCCAATCTTAAAAATCTGTTTCATACCATATTGGAACTCTTACGGATATTTGTCACAACCCCCAAACTGGAAGGTGATGGCCAAGTAGTTAAGGTGGCAATTTACTGCTCTTGGAATTCAGAATTGAATTAAGATGGATCAAAAAACCCCAGGAATTTTTGGGGGTGGTCTTCTGGATATGTTAGGCCCCATTCCTCACCACCTAGCCACCCATAATGGGATTGCTAGAAAACAAAAGTCCTCTTAGTGCTCACAGGGTGGAAAGAATTAAACCAAAAAAAAAAAAAAACATTCAAACACTCAAGCCTTTCAGCAGAGATAGAAATTACTGAAGAAACTTTGTAAAACCTAGGAAAACACTGTTTTTAAAATNTGCTTGTTTTCTTTTATGATCATGGCTCTGCTTTACACAACAAATCCAAGAGTTGTTGCTCATAGAGAAAATGAAAACATTGGCCATCTGTTATCAGGGTCTGTAATATCAAGCTTTTACTATATTAGAAAAACTTATATTTCCAATCTTAAAAATCTGTTTCATACCATATTGGAACTCTTATGGATATTTGTCACAACCCCCAAACTGGAAGGTGATGGCCAAGCAGTTAAGGTGACAATTTACTGCTCTTGAAATCCAGAATTGAGTTAAGATGGATAAAAAAACTCCAGGAATTTTTCGGGGGTGGTCTTCTGGATATGTTAGACCCCTTTCCTCACCACCCAGCCACCCATAATGGGATTGCTAGAAAACAAAAGTCCTCTTAGCGCTCACAGGGTGGAAAGAATTAAACAAACAAACAAAAAAAAAAAAAAAAACATTCAAACACTCATTCCTCACCACCTAGCCACCCATAATGGGATTGCTAGAAAACAAAAGTCCTCTTAGTGCTCACAGGGTGGAAAGAATTAAACCAAAAAAAAAAAAAAACATTCAAACACTCAAGCCTTTCAGCAGAGATAGAAATTACTGAAGAAACTTTGTAAAACCTAGGAAAACACTGTTTTTAAAATTAAATCCATACTTGAGATAAAATGTAAAGGTATTTAGTCTAGTAACTTGATAAAAGAATCTGGTTGTTCATTTGATATTTGAAATAATTGTTGGGTTAGTTTTATTAATTATACTTTCATTTAAACAGTGTTTCTCAATTTTTCCTAAATAAAAGTTACCCCTCTAAAGACCTCTTTTTTGGACAGTGCTTTTTTTCGAATTGCCCCTTAACAAAATTTCAATGCTTTGTACTTATTTTTAAGTGATAAGAATAAATAATAAGTTTTTTAAAATCATTTTTTAAGTTTCTGATTGACCAGAAAGGACATCAAACATTTTGGACATTCTTTTATTGCCAAAGTTTATACCTTTTCAACATAATCATTTCCACATTAGGGTCAATTCTTCTATAGAAGCACAAACTTTTTTATTTTCTCATCAAAAAATCCTTCCACTAGATTTTTAACCCAGGTAATTTTAGACTACTAATTTTGAAGCTTTTCTTACGGCAAGTACTCAATGAATATTAAGACTTCTATTTGACAAGGAATTTGGTAAAACAACTGCCTTGTATAATGGGGACAGGATGATATAAGGAGATGACATTGATTTTATAGGAAATATAGGACAAAGGTGACAAATTTNTAAGAACAATAAGACTTTTATTTGACAACAAGGAATTTGGTAACACAATTGCCTTGTATAATGAAGACAGGATGATATAAGGAGATGACATTGATTTTATAGGAAATATAGGACAAAGGTGACAAATTTACTAGTTCCTGGCATCATAAAATCATATAGAAATAATTCCTTAAGAGGGAGGAAAATAAAGCAAAAAGTTTTTCTAAAAAGTAGACAGGATTAAATGTTTTTGTGTGCAACATGGTTTCTAGAAAGCTGCTTTGAAAATTAAAAAGAGAGCTCCATTCATAAAATTTGATTTGCAGATTGCATTTAAGAATAAAATCACTACTTTAGCCACATAATGTGTTTAAATTTTTTGTGATTTTGTGTCATAGCTTCAAGGACCACCAGTGACTAAAAGCTCTAGTCATGGATTTGTACCTTGCCAATGGGCTGACCATGTGGAGTTTTCTTCACATTAGTAACACCTAAATTCGGACAGTTCCTGTAAAAGTCTTCCCAGGAGGCATTCCTCTCGGCAGATTGCCCATGCTACATTGCCATAACCAAATAAATCAAATGTGTCAAAGTTTCAAAGACATGTATGATTTATGTATGACATTGTATGATTTTGTGTTTCTTCATGTGTGCATAATTAAATGCTTATTTTGTTTCATTTCTGTCTCAATGTTAAGCCTTAAAAATGTAACAGAATACACACAATATTGGACATGAAATGAATTTACTCAAGTCCTAGATTTTGAGTTGTCGAAATGTGCTTTTTTCCCCCTGCTCTAACTGGGCTGTTTTTATCAAGCCCATTATTAGTTCAGCTGAGTGGTGAGAGATGGAGCCTGACATACTGGGACAGACACCCCAAAAAATTCCTAGGGTTTTTTCAACCCATCGAAATTCAATCCCTGGTCTTCCAGAGCAGTAGGCTGCTATTCTACTTTGAATTCATTTTTTAGATTTCAATCAGTTAATGTCTGTTTTTAGAATTGTCTTGCTTGTAAAATTATTGTTAAACATATTTGTTTGTCCATAAAGTAACAAAAATTATTATATTGTGAAAAAATATATATACAGAGGGTGATTGGTTAATGAACATAATTCGTTCCAAGACTTTGTTCGCTATCTGAATTGTTCATTAACCGATTATTGATTTACCATAGGTTTTTATGGGAATTTGATTAATTCGTTCTAGAGACCCCAAAAAATAAAAAATTATATACTTTCTTACTATGTTTATTTATATGTAATAATAAAAATACATATATACACAGTCTTGCATTTTTATTAGTCATGTTTTTTTCCATTTGTGGGAGTTAAAGAATCTGTCTAACGTTGATTGCTTTTCTCTCTTCTTCAGAATTTTTCAGAAGTAATAGCATTATAATTGTAGAGATCCCCAAGCCTATTAACTTCAACCTAGTTTGGATGCCATTTTAAGACCGTTGTTCTGACATCCTCCCACTTCTTCAAAAAAATGTTTAATGGCAGATATCGACATTAATTCTTTTTTTCAGAAGAAAACATATCTCGCTGAGTTTCTTGGTGTTCTTCATTCAAGAGTTCTTGTCATTCTTCTGTCGTCAGATCCAGTTCAGGTTCCATTATGAGCTCTTCAATGCTCTTTATTTCTCAGATGTGACTTTTGTTACTCCTTTAGCTGCTTGAATTTACAGTATCTTTCTTAGATAAGATTTAACTATGGCCTACTGAATACCTTTTCAAGCCATACTGCCCAGCAACATCAGACATCTTCTGCCTACTCTCTACCTTTGTTATTATGCTCTCACCTTTTGAAAATAAAAACCGATACAAAACTTAATGAGTGGCCACCTGACAGTCTTGTGAATACTATAAAAAAATTGTTTCTGTCAGAAAAATAAAAGGCTGGAATTACAAGGGAGAGTTTCAAAGTTTGGAGGAATACTATCCAATCAGTATATACTGAGTTGAGCGTCAATGTTTCGAATTATTGCCTGAAAATGAGGGAAGACCAATTATTTTACTTTGCTTCTTCTTGTGTTTGTTCTATGAGGTGTTTATTGTCCTAACATAAAAATCTTTTGCGAAAGCATCTGTTATCCGATTTGTTCGTTGACCGATCACCCACTGTGCTTAACTATCTGAATTGACGACAACCTTCCACACTTCTCCAGCAGTAAAACATTTAATGTCATCAATTCAGGTAATTGATGTAATATTTTCAGTTTTTTCAATAATTTAATTTGATTTTCAAAAATATTTTATTGGTTTATTAATGTTATCTTTTTTCTAACAGATAAAACACAGGATTTGTTATTTAATGGAATGAAGAAACAATTTTCTCAATTAAATTCTTCTGTAAATAGCAAATTTCCATCTAAACAGAATAATTGGCTGTTTCTTAAATCTAAAGAACATTCTGGTAAGTATTTGTAATTTATCTATAAAAATTTACATTTTATTATTTAATCCACAAGGAGGTATCATAAAATGAGGTATTGACATCTATATTTTGTATGTAATACCACAATCATCAACCCATATACAGTGGAGTCCTGTACAATGTGGAGGATATGTTCCACATTTTAGGAAATCACATTATTGAGACATGCATTGTAAACCTAGGCCTAGAAGTTGAAGAAGAAAATGTATACCTCTGGAAGACAAAATTAGAATTTTGTATGAGTATTAGTTGTAATTTTTTCATTACATTACAGGGAAGCACATTATATGGGAGTTCACTATACTACTTTTTCAATATGATCATTAAAAATATTCAGACATTTGTGCTGTATGTAATGAACTTATCCATTTTGTCACCATAACATTCCTGTATCTGGTTATGATTTAATTATTTAGTGAGTAATGTTTCATTTCTTCATTTGATATGAACAATGTATATCCAAGCAATCTTTAGTGTGGAAGAGATAAAAATCACTGAGATCCAGACTGAAAATTTGGCTCCTTGTATATGAGGGATGACTCACAATCTCTTGTTAAAATTGTTGCAGTATGTACAAATTCATTTGATATGAAATGTCTCCAAAGTGACCAAAGATAGCCAAAGCATGCTATGTTTATAGCATAGCATAGAATGCTCATCGATTCTCATCAAAACGTCAAATTTCCAGCAAAACACCCAAATTCAACATTCGAACGTTTTCGGCCACTCATTAATTGGCCTTCATCAGGAAAAGTCAAAACAAAAATAACTGTTCTATTTATAGAATGTTGCTGTGTTGTACACCTAATTTTAAAAATTGGTTTGAACATCAGCTGTGATGTATATTAAGCAATGTATAATTTCCTTTAAGAGTGTAAATAATACTTCCATGCATTTGGTATGGGGATGTAATTTGTGATTCAGATCCCAGGACATCACATTAGTCAAGGCAGATAAAAGCAAGGCGGTCATGATCATGAAAAGGACCTAGGTGGTCTGCCTTGCTTTTATCCGTCCATCTGTTACAGCAGTACATAGTGGAAATGCAATGGCAACTTGCTGAGGCCTCATATATAACAAAACTACAAAATTGTGTCACTAGGTTCACACGCACTAGCCTAGTAATGGCGCTAGGCCTACAGCACACAATAGTCAACTCTCCTGACACCCCGCCTGTTCGCCTTTGCAAAAATGCACAAACTGGGTTAACACTTACATTCTGTGATTGATAAAGCCAGATCCCCAATGCTTTTGTTGGAAAATTGGATCCGTTGTGTGTTAAAGTGCCACTTTCAATCATATACATATATGATCTTCAATTCAGGTTCACTTCTATCCAAACTTGCTGCTATTAATTTAAGTGGGAACGAATATCTCATTGTGTTCGATTTTGTATCCATGTTTCCATCTATTTGTTTAGAACCATGCTTTTGCACTTTGAGAGATTTTTTTTCTAAGCACTACTACTGATGCTCAAACTTTCCACACTCAAATATTAGACCTAGCACACCTGCTGTTCTATTCCTCATCTTTTTACTTTGATAGTGCACCTACATACAAAAAAGAGGGGTACCTGTGGATAGCCCCATTTTGGGTGATCTGTGTGAACTGGTTGTACGACAATTGGTAAACATGTTCCTTAGTAAAATTCAAACATAATATCGTCATGTATACCCGATACGTTGATGACATTTTGATTATATGGAGAAATAGACTGGATGTGATAATGTGTTAAAAGTGTTCAATAATAACAACTATGGATTAACATTAAAATTGGATCAGGAAAGCCACATGGACATTAATTTCTTGGATATCAAGATTTATGTAGTGGATAATAAGTTCAAAATTACAGTTTTCCACAAACCCACTTACATTCCTCTATTCATACCAGCCAACTCTGTTGACCTTTGGTCATATAAAACGTCCGCTTTCCGCGCACTTGTGGCTAGAGCCCACTCACATTGTATACAGCTCTCAGATACTAACAATGAGCTAGTACAAATGAAACATATTGCATCCAAGCATGGATACATTCACTCATTTATCAACAATATAACATCCACATATCAAGCCAGGTCAATCAACACCAATACTAATGTTAACAATGCAGAAGAGAAATGGGTAGTCCTAAATTACAAACTATCCCTCCATTGCACATACATGATGATGGCCAAGGATTTAAACATATGCATAGCATACAAAAGGAAACCCACCGTGTTCTGCCTTTTATCTAACGTGAAGGATGAAACTGAGGATGCTAAAGCACCTGGAATTTATCGCATCTCACTACAGGATGACAGGTTCAACCGGACACTAACCTGCATTGGTTCCACATACAGATCATTACAAGCCCAGTTACGTGATCACAGGTATGACATAGCAAAAGGAAACATCAATATGGCCTTAGCTCGGTATACCACTGAGCCGGGAATTTACCCCATATGGGAGGAGGCATCCCTAATAAACAAGGTATTCAACAGACAGCATATAAGAATGTTAGAGGCCGCAGACATCTACAGGGCCGACATAAGAGGAACATGCATCAACACGGATTACATTCCCATACCAAATGTATGAAAGTATTATTTACATTCTTAAAGGAAATTATACATTGCTTAATATACGTCACAGCTGATGTTCGAACTGATTTTAAAAAATTAAAAAATTACGTGTACAATGCGGCAACATTCTATAAATAGAACAGTTATTTTCGTTTTGACTTTTCCTGATGAAGGCCTATTAACAAGTGGCCAAAAACATTCAAATGTTGAATTTGGGTGTTTTGCTGGAAATTTGACGTTTAGGTGAGAGTCTATATATTGTTCTAGTTTATTTTGTTGTTTTTATAAAATGTTCATCCATACATAGCACAGAGAGTTCAGGATTTACCACAAGTTTCAATGAGAAGTTTTCAGTCATTCCTCAAGTTATTCCTTATATACTGAAAGTGATTTTTCTTATTTTAGACATGACTCCCAATGATTCTTCTCTCATCTGAAATTCACTTGGATATATGTTGTTTTTTTTATCGTAAAGAGATAAAACATAGTCACACTACACAGTTAAGTCATCAGAGATGAGAATGAATTTTGCTCATTAAGCTAACAACAAGAAATCTGAATATTTTTGATGAGCATGTTTAAAAATGGCATTTCAATTGAGATTTCAATCTATACAGTCAATTATTTGCATTAAGAAGATAATGCATACAAAATATGAACTTGTGACCTTTTTTTCTGATTTATTCTTATGTATTAACAGGTTTTAATAGAAAATATATCCTGATATCAAGATCTTAATTACTTGTAAATTTTTCAGGTTTAAATAATAGCATGAGTAACAATCCTTACAAGTCTCTCTCTTGTTCATTTTGCGATCGCACAGTGACCGCTTTAAATTCTTGTGTATGCACATCATGTAATGGAAAATTTTGTCATCTGTGTTCTGTTTTACAGTTAGTATATAAATGTTTCTATCAGTTTATAAATTATTTATAAAAACATTACGATTATATACAATCTTTTATGTAAATTTAAGATATTCATATAGAAGAGACTTTGTTTAATATTTGCTTTATATCCTTACAGGTACGATAAACATGAAGACACTGCGATATGCTTGACGTGTTTGCAGAAGTAACGTCATCCAACAAGTCATTTTGTAAATATATGTAAATACGTTCATTTTAAATTAATTTTTATAAAATATTTTAAATCGTTAGCAATAAATATTTAGATTTCGTTACAAATTAAATGAAATTAAAAGTAAATATTATTTGTAACATAGAGATTTGATAACTTTGTACCAAAATAAAATTTTAATATTAAAAACAGTTTTAAATTGTGATATGTTCACTTCTCAAATAAAAAAGAATTGTTGATACCCAAAATATAATGCTAAAATATCAATTTGTACATTCTGTAATGCAGGCATGAGCAACTTTTCTATAGTAAGAGTCAAGTGACACCGTTTTGACATAATAACGGGTGGAACGTTGGTCTATGTTTGTAAAGAAAATGCAAATACCATGAATAATCAGTCTAAAAACTTCATAATCTTACAGCTTTTCTCTGAACAGGTGAAATCATTATAAATTACTTATGAGGTAAATATGGTTAAGGATCTTGATGATAATTGGGACATAGAAAAAAAATCTCTGAGGATTGCAGGTTGTCCAACATGTAAGTTAAAGATGAAAATGTAAGCCTGGTATTCATGTATGGAAATGGACAATGGAAACCATTAACCAGAACATAAAACAACTTTACTTTTACCATTGTTATTGAAAGGTATTCATAAGTATGTAGGCATAATTCAGATTCTAAGGTATTTGATATCCTTGATCTGTTTGAAGTGTTTTTCTTGCCCAAATTGTCTCTGGTGTTTTTACTTTCCAGAGTTCTATTACATGGCATTCAAATTTCAGTTGAATGCTATGTAATAGATCAGAGTTCAATAACCACAGTGGTTTGAATATTAGAA